TTGGCGAGGAGGACGAGCCGGCAACCATAGCTGACCGGAGGGTTGACCAAAAGGGTTGACCGAAGGTGTTGACCGGTGATTACCAGAGTTGACCGGGGGTCATAGCAGCATTGACCGGCGTTGACTAAGGCCGTTGACCAAGGTGTTGACCAAGCTGGAGTTGGTAACATCTCACCCAGCCCTCAGCCTATCCCTTGCCCTGTGGATGTGCACACACCCTCGGTACTTGCAGTATATCGATTTTTTCTGCATTGAGTCTCTTTTGTCCTAGGTGATAGTACTCTGTGGATGAAGGATAGAGCCTGCTGACCACTCCCCTACCGGTGCTAGTAGGGTTGAGACTGTGACTGATCCAACTTTCCAGGGGGGCATAACCCTCCCAAGGACCGGTGTTGAGCGGGTGGAAACGGTTGGTAGGGCACAGTGGGCCTAGAAGACTGAGTTGCGGGCTGAAACACAGATAGTCTTTGAGTGTTGAGGGTTTGTTTGAACCACTCCCCTACCGGACCAAGTAAGGCTGAGGATCTGTGTCTGACGACTCGACTGTCCCGGGGGATACGAACCCTCCCAAGGACTGGTACAGACCGGCGAGCTGCTCGGTGTGGCACAGCAGGCCGAAAAGGCTGAGTTGTGGGCTGAAAGCACAGGCAGAACCAAGCTGCTCACGTCGTCCTGTCTGCGACGTTAAATAATTCTTGCGGAGTTACGGGGTATCTCCTTAAATGCCTCCAGATCAGCCACTAGTTCAGTAGTGACAGCCATAGTTAGGTCTAGGTTAGAGACCATAGCTGGCAGGATCCCTGTCAGGATCATGTGAGTCTTAGATCGAGTCAATAGGTCTATCAGTCAGGGGTTAGAGTCTACGTGGTGAGGTCTGGAACCACTAACCCGGTTGTACACTTATCACTATGGTTGAGACCCGTAGTGGGTCAGACACAAGCCCCTATACTAAGGAGCAGCAAGAGAAGATGGCCGCCTTAGTCAAAGAGAACAGGGAGAGGAAAGAGCGTGAGAAGCAAGCAAAGTTGAAGGCGATTGCAAACGAACAGACGACGAAGATGAAGGAAATAGAGGAGGAGATGAAAAAAAAGAAGAAGGCTGCTGAAGAAGAAACGGCAGCAGAAGAAGAAAAAGAAAGAATAAGGATTGAGTGCAGAGAGGGGAGTAGTGGCACGAAGAGAGATACAGACGCAGAGATGGAGAAGAAAATAAGTGAGTGGGTTGTTAATTTATCGTTGGGTGAAGATGAGGAGGCACAGATATATGTGCCACAGGAAGAGAAGGAGGCGTTTGCCAGGGCCCTCGCAGTGATTGAGGACCCCCTTGAACGTCAAGAAGCCGAGGAGGAGAAGAGACTGGAATGGAAGTTGAGGATAAAGAGGGAGAAGAAGAGAAGAAGGGAGGAGGCTAACCGGTTGACCGCAGAAGTGGAAAAGGTGCGGACGTGTAGACAGGAAGTCCAGGCACAAACAAATGTTTCTGCCAAAATGGACAAGATGTTAGGGTACTTAGAGATGTTGAGTGAGGCCTGGTTAGAGGAACAGCAAGCCAATCAGGGCCAAGACATCACCCTGAAAGCCATGTGGTCAGGGTTTAGAGAGTTTGTGTGCGAGATCGTCACCCACATTGGGGGCGAAGTCAGGCAACTGAGGGATAATGTAGGGGAGTACTGCGAAGGCGCCATTGAGGGTGCCAAGGCCATAGATGCGGTGGAAGGCGAGGGTAGACCCCGTAAAGAGCCTTTAAAGCTCAAGTTCCCAGACGCGTACGGGGGAAAGAAGGAGGAGAACTTTGACAACTGGGAGGTCAGTGTCAATAGTTGCATTTATTTGCAGCATATCCTCATAGAGGAGCAAGTCCTCGTGGCCTTTCAGGCCCTCAAGGATGAAGCAGCTAGTTTCGCCAGGCCTCTTGCATGTGCACCCGGTTGTGAAAACAACCTGGTTGCATACTCAAAAGTCACCCCCCTTCCTCAATTCCTTAAGCTCCTGAAGGAGCGATTTGCTGACCCCACGAGAGTTGTTCGCGCCTCTGATAAACTGCAAACGATCCACTCACGGCAGTGGAGGAGTGCAAGGGCACTCAAGGGTACCATGGACGACTTGGTAGCCGTCCCGGACCACGGGGTTACTGAACCCCAATTGGTCCAACTGTTTTATCGTGCTATGCCAGAGCCCCTGAGGGGGCACTTCAATGACAAGTCTCAACAGGCCGGGATCACATATGATGTGTTGAGTAGGGAGGTGGTCCTGTATGAGTCAAAGTCTATGCCAGTCACCACTTTCTGGCATAAGGACTTAGAGAAGAGGAAGAAGTGGAAGGATCGTACCATCTCAGGCCAAGTCAAGGCCAAGGATCACTTGATCCTGACGTTAGAGGAAGGTGGTACAGACGAGGTCCCGTATGATCAGATTGAGTGGGGCCTAGGGGAGGAGGACAGTAGTGTAGGGCAGGGGAGGTCTTACGCTGTTGTCGTGGTTGGAGGGAGGCCGCAAGGTAGAGGAGGAGGCCAGGGCCAAAAGGGCCAGGCCATGGGAGGTCGAGGACCGGGCGCACAAGGGGTTGGCGGACAAGGAAACCGCCAAGTGGGAGGTAGGGGTCAAGGTCCCCCGCCAAATCGCCAGGGTAATCGATCCCTACAACGACGAGGTGGAAGGGCACCTCAAGGAGGTTGACACCCAGGCTTGCCACAAGGCAGGCCCTTGGAAGATATGGGCTTAGACATTATGGCAGGAACGCGTGAACATGGGTCAATGAGTATTCTGTGGTGACCCAACTCGCGTAATAAAATTTTGTCCTAAGTATAGACAGGCCCATTAAGCTGCCCCGCAATCAAAAGACAGCCGCCAGTAGGGGTTGCAACTGCCCCTACTTCAGGGCCATGTGGAGCAGTGAGCGCGCGCGAGCAGGACACTCCCAACCGACATGAGCCCATGGCAGAGGTTGCAGACCCGTGCCTAACTAGCTGTCCAGAGACCGCTTGTGTTAGCGTCTCTTTAGGCACGTCCCTCACAGGTGTGGCAGAAGAGTTAAAGGAAAGGATGCCACCCTGGGCCAAGATGAAGAAAGAAAGTAAAGGACAACTAAAATCTTGATAGTCGTAGAGGTTTTCAAATGTAGAGTAGGGGCCCTTATAGACTCGCAGGCCACCCGTAGTTATATTAGTCGTAGGGCGCTGAAGAAGTTGAGGTTAGGATTGAAAATCCAAAAGTTGGCAGACCCCATAATCAGTGTCCTCGCAGACAACCGTACAATGTGTGTTGAGGACTATGTAGAGGGAGTCCAGGCGTACCTTCGCCTAGAGAAGGATGAGAATGTGCAGAAAGTTCTCCATTCCCTAACTTTCCTCGTACAGGATGACCTTCCCTTCGATGTAGTATTGAGAATGGATTGGGGAGAGGCAGCAGGGGCCACACTTCATTTGAGAGAGCATGAGTATAGGCTCCCTAGCCCCTCAGGCGAGGTTAAGGCTGCCCGCCTGTTTCACGTGTCAGGTGTAGACAACACCTTGGCACTTTGCTGTCTCAGTGCTCCCGCGTTCGCGCGGTTAGTAAAGAAGGAACGGGTAGAAGAATAGGTTTTTGTAGTTTATGTTAGACCTGTCACTAAGGTCCATAAAGAAGACAATTCTAGAGATCCAACCATAGCCAAGCTGCTGGAAGAGTTCAAAGATTTGACTGAGTCGCCGACAGGAGTAGTGTCGTGACCCATCCAGCATAGGATAGAGATAGAGCCTGGCAGTAGAACTCCTAAGGGTGCAGTCTACAGGATGTCCCCTAGAGAGTTAGAGGAGTTTCGCAAGCAATTAGACAAGCTCCTCGAAAAAGGATGGATCATGCCCAGTTCGTCTCCTTTCGAAGCACCTGTTTTGTTTGTCCCCAAGAAGGAAGGAGAGCCGAGAATGTGTATCGACTATAGGGGTTTGGACGCGATTACTGTGAAGAATGATGAGCCACTGCCCAGGATAGACGATCTTGTAGATCGGGTGCAGAGTTGGAAGTATTTCACTAAGATTGATTTGAAGTCTGGTTATCATCAGATAGAAGTCCATCCCGATGATCAGTACAAGACTGCCTTCCGGACTAGATATGGGCATTACGAGTTCATAGGGATGCCCTTTGGACTAACCAACGCGCCAGCTACGTTTCAGCGTTGTATGAATGATCTGTTCAGACCATGGTTAGATAAGTTTGTAGTAGTTTATCTAGATGATATTCTAGTTTTCAGTAAGACCCTCCAGGAGCACCAAGGTCATCTAAGGCAGGTCTTGGAGAAGCTTCGAGAGGTTAACTTCAAGATCAACGCAAAGAAGTGTGAGTGGGCCAAGACGCAAGTCCTATACTTGGGCCACGTATTAAACGGAGATGGCATTAAACCAGAGGACAACAAGATTGCGGCGATTCGAGACTGGCCGACGCCCCGCACATTGACAGAGTTGCGGTCGTTCCTAGGCCTAGCTAACTACTATAGAAAGTTCGTGAGGAACTTCTCTACTATTGCTGCTCCCTTACGTAGGCTGCTTAAAAAGGAGGCAATCTGGTAGTGGGACAAAGATTGTACGTCTGCGCTCAAGAAGTTAAAGCGCGCGTTGATAGAGTACCACGTCCTCAAAGTAGCCGATCCGTCTTTGCCATTTGTCGTTACCACGGATGCAAGTCGGTATGGGATAGGCATCGTATTACAGCAAGATGACGGCAATGGCTATAGACCCGTAGAGTTTATGTTAGCGAGGATGCCCTGTGAGAAAGTCGCTACCTCCACGTACGAGAGAGAACTCTACGCTCTCAGTCAGGCTTTAGACTATTGGAAGCATTACCTGCTTGGGAGGCACTTCAAAGTCTATTCGGACCATGAAACGCTTAGATGGTTAAAGACTCAGGCCAAAATGACACCTAAGTTGACTAGGTGGGCCGCAGAGATAGACCAATTCGACTTTGAGCTCAAGCCAGTGAAGGGCAAGTACAGCGTAGTTGCGGATGCTCTGAGTAGGAGATCAGACTACTTTGGAGCCGTAGTATACGATCTGGATATAGGGAGAGACCTGCAGGAGAAAGTGAAGCAAGTGTATGCACATGACCCTATTTATAGCGACCTCCTAAAGAGAGTTAGGGAGGCCCCAGAAACTGAACCAGATTACTGCACTACAGATGGGTTATTATTTGAGAAGACTAATATGTTTGACCACCTGTACGTTCCCAACAGCGAAGAGATCCGTCGTTTAATCTTAGGGGAATACCACGATACTGAGGGACATTTCGGTTGGCAAAAGACATTAGCCAATCTAATGCGTGCGTATACCTGGCTAGGAATGAAAAATTACTGCGTAGAGTATGTCCGCAGTTGTAAAGTATGCCAGCGTAACAAGACTACTACCCGCGCACCCCTTGGTCTTCTCAGACCCTTGCCTATTCCGGATCAGCCGGGAGACTCAGTGTCCATAGACTTCATGGACACTCAAGTCAAGAGCAGACATGGTAAGAGCCAAGTCATAGTCGTAGTTGACCGCTTTAGTAAATACGCAGTTTTTGTTCCTTTGCCTTCGGACGCACGTACAGACTTAGTGATACATAAGTTCTTTGACTTTTGGGTTAGTGAAAATGGAATCCCATTGTCAATAGTCAGCGATAGAGATAGTCGCTTCACCACTTGTGGAGATGCAGCCAGAACTGGCAAGAACTCATGAGAGTGTACGGATCTAAGTTATTAATGTCATCTGGCCGTCATCCAGAGACCAACGGTCAAACAGAACAGATGAACAAGATTCTACAGCAAGTTCTACGCATGTACATTGGACAAGATCAGATTAAATGGGATGAGATGTTGCCTAAAGAAGCTAGTGCGTACAACAACAGCGTGCATCTATCCACCTGTCGCACTCCCCGCGAACTGCACTAGTCCTTTAGACCCCGCATACCATTCGAAGGACTGAACCGGGACCAGATTTACAGACTACCGCCCGAAACCAGGGAGTTTGCGATACAGCATGAGAAAGAATTAGCAACTGTTGTTGATAACCTTAGGAAGGCCCAGCATAGGATGATAGAACAAGCTAACAAGCACCGTCGCCCATCACAGTTTCAAGTAGGCGACTTAGTCTGGGTCAAGGCAAAGGAGTTTGCACCTGAAGAAAACATCTCTCAGAAGTTACTGCCTGCGTATAGAGGACCGTGGCCGGTTCTAAAAGGCAAGGGCGGAGAGGATGGACCGTCCTACACCGTAGAGATTCCAGTTCACCTCCACACCTACCCTGTATTCCATGCTTCAAAACTGTTGTTGTGTGTCACAAGTCAACAGTTCCCCTCAAGACGATTCATGATCCCCCGGATATGGATGGAAGCTATGACATTGACGACATTGTAGGTGAAGATGTCTTAAGAACAGGAGGTAGAGGCCGTCCATAGAAACAGTATAAGGTCCAGTTTGCATATCAGGAGCCGGAGGATAACCACTGGTTTACGAGATCAGAACTTCTAGAGACAACTCCCGATATAGTTAGAGCCTACGAAAGAGAACAGAAAGGTGAAGGACCTGCCATGGACTGAATTGTTCTCGGAGGACCTCGAATTTAGGACGGCGGGAGTGAAACGGTTTTCACCAATTAGCATTAGCTGCTGCAGATCCCAGGGTTCGATCCCTAGACCCCAACCTTACCTGTGTACAGTACCTGTGTCGGCCTGTAGAGTTGAACCCGTGACCTGTGTATTTGTAGCAGCTGATAGATTGTCGTAGGGTCCATGGTAGCTTGGATTCGACCTGTAGACCTATCGGATAGGAGTCTTAGTCAGGTCTAGACATCGGAGCTGTGGTTTTCTTGAAAGGTCAAGGTTGTAGCTGCTACAGTCCAGAAGGGTCAGAATCGTAGCTGCTACAGTCCCGAAAGGCCAAGTCTACGGCCTTCCGGAAGGTCCCAGTAGTGGCCTTTCGGAGTTGCCCACGTTTAAGCAGAGGCAAGTGGTCAAGTGGTGAGGCAAGTGGGCAAGTGGGGGAAGTCTACCCTGATGAGTCAACAGTCCCAGTCCACAGTCAGTCCAGCAAATACCGCACAAGACTGTGTGCACTTCGGGCAAGGGAAATGGGCCAGACCAACGACCTGCAGAAGTATAAATCAAGAGGCAGCTCCCAGCCATTCATTCATGCGGAAGCCATGCGGAAGCGCTGCCACAACGACTTGTGCGAGGAGGTCTGAAGTGAGCCCGAAGTAGAAGAGGGCGAGAGAGACGAAGGACAACCATAGCGATAGGGTAGGGGCAGCCATAGCTGCCATAGTTGTAGTTAGAGGGAAGTGTATGTGGGTATGTGTGAGTGTTCAGAGTGATGCGTATGGGATATCCAGGGTGATCCAGGGTGTGAACAGTGAGTTGTTTGGGCGCTAAGTCGCCATAGCCAGTTGAAAGTGAACTCGTATGTGGAAGCCATATCTCTGAGTTCTGAGTGGGCGCATGTCGCCAGTGTGCTGTGCTGCTGTTTACACACATGAAAAGTGTGAATAAGATGAGTCTGATTGCACTATCCATATGAATGCCTCATTTCCCAACGGTTTACCCCACCAGGACTCGCCAAGTTCCGCTTTTCCCTTCCTTTTTGGCACTGTCATTTCTAACCCATCATTGTTCCTAATGGCTACATAGCACCGTGTTTGCGTTCGGAGGCGAACGCGAACATGTTCGCCCGAACGCGAACAAGCGCCCAAAACCCTTCGAACGCGAACATAAAAAATATTTTAAAACAAGAAAAAAAAAACTCTCAGAAAAATCTGAAAAAAATATATGTTATGTAAGAAAACAATACAAGCAACTTTTGCCTTGGAGTCATGTTCAAATTCGTAGCCAATCATGAGTTACAAATCAAAAACCGAAAAAAAAATATTTTTTATTTATTTATTTTTTTTACGAAAAAAAAATGTTCGCCAGAACATGTTCGCGAGCTGTTCGCGCGAACGCTCGAACTCGCGCGAACATGAAGGGGCGCGAACACGTTCGCTGTGCTACGCAGCCTAATGGGTATCTCAACCCTGGAAACTCGCTCCGCGTAAGGCATCTTTGATTGAAGTCGGGAATCCCCTTAATGACCTGTTTACACAAGAGGCAAAAC